GAATGCTCATCATCACTGGTCATCAGAGAGATGCAAATTAAAACTACATTGAGATACCATCTCACGCCAGTTAGAATGGCGATCATTAATAAATCTGGAGACAGATGCTGGAGAGGATGTGGAGAAATAGGAACACTTTTGCACTGTTGGTGGGAGTGTAAATTAGTTCAACCATTGTGGAAGACAGTGTGGCGATTCCTCACGGACATAGAAATAGAAATTCCATTTGACCCAGCAATCCCGTTACTGGGTATATAACCAAAGGATTATAAATCATTCTACTATAAGGACACGTGCACACCAATGTTCATTGCAGCACCATTTACAATAGCAAAGACCTAGAAACAACCCAAATGCCCATCGATGATAGACTGGACAGGGAGAATGTGGCACATATACACCATGGAATATTATGCAGCCATAAAAAACGATGAGTTCGTGTCCTTTGTAGGGACATGGATGAACCTGGAAACCATCATTCTCAGCAAACTGACGCAAGAGCAGAATATCAAACACCGCATGTTCTCACTCACAGGCAGGTGTTCAACAATGAGAACACATGGACACAGGGAGGGGAGCACTACACACCGGGGTCTATTGGGGGAAAATAGGGGAGGGACAGCGGGGGAAGGGGAGTTGGGGAGAGATAGCATGGGGAGAAGTGCTAGATGTGGGTGATGGGGAGGAAGGCAGCAGATCACACTGCCACGTGTGTGCCTATGCAACAATCTTGCATGTTCTTCACATGTACCCCAAAACCTAAAATGCAATGCAAAAAAATAAAATAAAATAAATCACATCCTTGCAACAAGCTTCACTTATGCTATCTGAAGTCCACATTTTTCTTTCAATCTGACAGATTATTTTAAAAGAGGAAGATGGGCCTTGGGGATATGAATTGTTAAATTTCATTCCACAACAGTACACACCCCTTGCCTACATCCTGACACCCAATACAAGAAGTACTGGCCCAGACGAATGATTGCTGCTTGAATGATCAAGAATTACTATTTAATCTGTTAAATTCTTGAACTTGTTTTAGAATGGGAATTTTCAGCAATGTCCTTTAAAAAGCAGTAGAATCCAGTCACGTGCAGTGACTCATGCCTGTAATCCCAGCACTTTGGGAGGTTGAGGCAGGCAGATCACCTGAGGTCAGGAGTTTGAGACCAGCCTGGTCAATTTGGCAAAACCTGGTCTCTACTAAAAACACAAAAATTAGCCAGGCGTTGTGGCAGGGATCTGTAATCCCAGCTACCTGTGAGCCTGAGGTGGGAGAATCGTTTGAACCTGGGATGTGGAGGTTGCAGTGAGCTGAGATCACACCACTGCATTCTCCTGCCAGAGTGTTGTCACAACAAGACTCTGTGTCAAAAAAAAAAAAAAAAAAGCAGTAGAATCCTTACTCATAGACTAAATAGAGTAACTAAGAGAAAAACTAGTCCCCATCTCCATTTTTGTCAAATATCTCATTTACCAACAGTCTTCGGTTTTCTATCAGTCTCCTCTTATTCAATCAAGGTATATTATTTTTAAAACCTGACTTTTAAGACATTCCCCTTTCATCTACTGATACATCCCTATGACTTCCACTCATTCTAAAATATATCAATATACTATTTCTACATGATAGAAATTAAAAAATGAAAAGAGAATCATCCCATGTAGCTGAAAAGCTCACAAACTTAACAGAAAAACTGTAAACAACTGCAAAATTGTGTGATAAAAGGTATGCTAGTGTTATGTTCAAAGCATTAGAAAAGCAAAGTAAGAGAAAGATTAATTCTACTTGGTATAAAGAAAGGGTTAAAGAGGACCTCCCTACTATATGAATTAAGCCCTAAGGATCAAAAGATGTTTTAGATGAAGTTTAGGGCAAAACAGCATGCCTCCCATTGACAGAGGGATGAAAGTATTTTACGTCTTCAGGGATTGGGAAATTGCCCAACTCACCCAAGTTTGCCAGGTGAGAGGAGAGGAAATGCAAGGGATAGCAGGTAAATTAGTCATTGTTACCCAAAAAAGGGGGTGAAAAACACTTTTCTCTATCAAAGACTACTCCTAAGTACCTCAAAATAATGCCTGAAGGATTATCCACCAGATGAGGGAAAACTAGGAGAGAAAAGCACTTTAAAGACCAAATGGAGGAATCGAAGAGCTCTTTCACCCAAATATTTCACTATTATCCATGCTCTAAATTTTAAAAGATCAAGTATAATATGTACTACAAGGTGGTTTTTTTGTTTGTTTATTTTTTGAGACAGAGTTTCACTCGTCACCAGGCTGGAGTGCAATGGCGCAATCTCGGCTCACTGCAACCTCCACCTCCCAGATTCAAGTGATTCTCCTGCCTCAACCTCCTGAGTAGCTGTGATTACAGGTGCCCACCATCACACCCAGCTAATTTTTGTATTTTTAGTAAAGATAGGATTTCCCCATGTTGACCAGGCTGGTCTCAAACTCCTCACATCAGGTGATCTGCCTGCCTTGGCCTCCCTGAATGCTAGGATTATAGGCATGAGCCACTGTGCCCAGCCCTATAAGGTGATTTTTAAGTAAGGTATAAAAGTAAAAATATCTATATATCCTTATACCTCCTTCAAAGATATTTTTCAAGTGTTATATACACTTCAATTTTTCTTAACTCCTTTAATTACCCAAAGGTTTTCCTGTCAAAATATCAACATTTTACATTTTTACTTTCTTCAGCTCTACTTATGCAACCTTGCCTCACCCACCTTGCCCTAATCTTGGCCTTGCACACAGCTTCATTTCCCATGATGGAGAAAAATNCTTCTACCCATATAGAAATCATAGTGTATACTGGTTAAGCATGGAAATGCCAAACTTATACTGCTTGAGTTCAAATTCCTGCCCTGCTGCTTTCTACCTATGGGATACTGGCTGATGTAATCACTATGTACTTTAATGCTCTCCTCTAAAGAATCGAGATGAAAATAATAATAGTTTGCATCATATTGTTGTTACTGTAAGCACTACAAGTTAATATGTGTGTTTAGAACAATTGGCACAGCATGTACTTGAAAAATGTTAGCTATTATTATTTTAGCAGTAGGTAGATAACAATTACATTTCTGTATCATTCTTTTTTATTTCCACAGGTTTTGGGGGAACACGTTTTGTTTAGTTATACGAGTAAGTTCTTTAGGGCAATTTCTGGGATTTTGGGGCTGTTTTCATGCTGTTAATTCTCCTTTAGTTTCTGAACAAAGAGGTCTTGAAGCTTCTCCCTAAGTGATGGTACACCCTATAAAAACAAATGCTATTTATCTTTTTCTACTCCTACTATCTCTGGCTTTGTTCTTCACATTACACTTAGAGTAGGAGGTTTAAAACAAGGGTCAATAATCTACAGCCAGGAGGCCAAATTCTGCAGCCATCTGTTTTGTAAATAAAGTTTTATCAGAACACATCTACCTCTACTGGTTTAGGTGACCTCCATGACATTTTTGTGTTACAATGGAAGAGAAATAGTTGACACGCTGTATGGCACACAAAGCCACAAACACTTACTATTTGGTCCTTTACAGATTAAAAAAAAAAAAAGCCAACCCCTGACCTAGAGCCTAACATGGCAGAAAGGGCATAGAATCTCAGGAGAGGGCTATGGTTTAAATTCCAGCTCTGCCACTAACCAACATGGTAATCTTGGCCCTGTCCGTTTAACATTTCTAACATCAACTCTAAAATACAGTTGTCCCCTCGCTATCAGCAAAGGACTAGTTTCAAGCCCATGGATGCTCAAATCCCTCATTTAACATGGTGTAATACTTGCAAATAACCTACAAGTATCCTCGCCTGTATTTTAAATAATCTCTATAAACTTATAATACCAAATACAATGTAACATCTATATAAATAGATGTTACATTGTATTTTTATTTGCATTGTTTATATTGTTGTTTTTGTTATATTTCACTTTTTCAGTATTTTCCATCTGCTGTTGGTTGAATCTGTTAGTGTGGAACCCAAGAATATGGAGTGCTGACTGTATCACAAGTCCATCTTACAGGTCCCTGATGAAAATTATATAAAGCAAAATCTGGCCCCTTTAGATGTTGCTTGGTTAGTACAATAGTTTGGATATTTTCATTTGATTTTAAGCTGATTTTGATTACCCTTAGATAAGGGTATACACTTACCAGTTCTTCATAGGCACTGGTAGGCCACTATTGTCTTTCACTCAAATCATGTATTTTCCTCATCTGCTTGGCCCTTGGGTTTAGGACTCCAAATACTAGAAAATTAGCGTAAAGCATTTTTTAAATGTGAAGCACCACAAAAATTATAGTGACCTTTATTTAAAAAAAAAAAATCTAAGAATTGTTTCAGCCTCCGACAAGAAATAAAAGCTCTTCCCTTACTCTTTCCTCAAAGGTGGCTTAAAACTTTCATTTTAACCTTTTACCCTACTGCAAAAGGCCTGATCCTCAAAGCCAAGGTCATTTTATTACATACTATGTTAAATAAGCTGCTCACTGCCTGTTTGTACATTTTATTAACTACTGTGCAACCATGTGAGATGAGCTAAAGGTCATAGGTCAAGAGAGTGGCTATGATTGTTCTGTTTATTCCTTCCATGAGAATTTGCATGAGGTGTCACTGCAGTGAGGTGGCCTCTGACAGAAAAATATGCTTGCTATTTAACTCTGCTGATTTCTTTAGTCCAAAACTACTTCCACCAATTCTATATCTTTTCTACTTCACCATTTACATAAACTAGTACATTCTTTTAAAAGGTTGATAACTACGGGATAATAAATTTTAAATTATTTGTAGTCCTATAAAAGTGTCTAGTCAGATTGGCTGCAGGCTGTTGTGAAAAGCTATTCTAAAAGAAAAGGCCACCTGATTTGAAAAAGAAAAGGGTTAATTTATTTTAATGCACATAGAGCTCTAGCAGAAGTATTTTTCAAACGGTGTATTATAATCCATTAACAGGGTATAAAATCAATTTAGTGGATTTCTTCCAGCATCAGTCCAGGGGATGTGCGGGAATGAAACAGAATGAACAGAATGGAATGCAATACTAAGAATACTTTCTAATTGAAACTTTGGTTTCAGTTTATACATATACTCAAAGATTCATGTATATGTGTATGAGTTAATTTGTAAAAGGTACTTCTTATTGTGGGTATGAGTTAATTTGTAAAAGGTATTTCTTATTGTGAAAAAACACTCTTGTACGAAAGAGAACACTTTTTTAAAGCGTAACTTGTAAGAACGACAGTCTGACACAATCACAAACATATTAAAATATAATAGCTGAACACAAAACAAGAAACACTGTTTGTGTATCAAAATATAACTTTTATAAAACAAGCAACATTTTTACTTATAAACACCTTAAGCTATACACCTTACATAGCTGACCCTGCCACACTCTGAATGCTGTTGTAATAAATACATCTGTAACAGTATTAGTCACATACTATTTTCAGAAATGATTTAAATATTTCATCTAAAAAATTATTAGTAAAAATAAAATTGTCTTGAAGAAAACATGTATTCACCTTTGATAGCTCATTACCTCAAAATCACAGCATCCAAAAATCAAGTCATCTTCATTTCCTAAAAATATGGCTTCCCTTCCCAACGTTCACATTTCTGTTAATTCCACCTTCTGTTAAAACTACCTGACATTCCACTTTTGAGAGCTGTTTCTGACTCCCTACTTTGGTTATCTAAGTCCTGTGGACTCTTTAAGTATTTTTAAGATTTATATCTTCTACTCTATTTCCACTGCTATTATCCATGTCCAGGCTTTCATCACCCTATGCTAAAATTACCAGGAGAGCTTCCAAACTGGTCTCAACCCAATTCAATCTGTAAATTACTACCAGATATTTCTAAAAATTTACTTCATTACAATTTAAATTCTTAAGATATCCAATAATTCCTATCTTCTTTCAAGCAGTATAGTGTATAACTGGAACTATAGCTTTTGGAGTTCTTTATCATTCAACTAACATTTACGAAATGCCTACTAAGTGCCAGGCCTGATCTGTGCATTGAGGATAAAGAAAGAAAGAAAAAGATAAAGTTCATATACTCAATATGGTTAGAGTCTAATAGGATAAAAAGATGAAAATTCACATAACTTCAGATAGTGAAGTTCTACAAATAAAAGAAAAGCACCATACGATAAAGTCAAGAGATTGGGAGGAAAAAGGAGCTTTTGGAAAGGGTGGTCAGAGAAGGCTTGTCTCAGAAGGTCATTTTCAAGCTAAGAGAAGAATGAGAAGGCACCAACCATGGACAGCAAATCTAAGTTCTAGAGAAAGAAACTAATTTGGCATGTTCCTAGAATAACAGAATGGCAGCCTAGGTGGATGAACACAGTTAATAACTCAGTGGAGGAGAGCTGTATAAGAGCAGCTCAAATCACAACACTCCCTTTTACTAGCTGTGGGGTATCTGACAAGCCATTTCATCTCTCCTTTGCTTCCTCACCTGTAAAACAGAAATAAAGCCTATCTCATAAGACACACGTGAGGATTAAAAGAGATAACATATACAAAATGTTTCAGATTATTTTCATCCTTATTATTACCATTACTGTGTACACTAGTGGATCCAAGTTCAAAAAACAAGCTTTGTGTTCTAGCATTCACTCACTGAACAAACAAGCATTTACTGAGTGCTTGTTTTCTGACTCTTAGCACTATGGCTGGTCAACAGAAGGACTGAGAAGATCTCCAGGTGTAAAGAATGTAAACAAGTAATTAAAATATGATGGAGAGATTGAGGTTCAGTAAAAATTGTCTCAATCATCCTCCAGCTAGAATCAACTCAAAGAATTGCTTTCTGCAAAACATACTAATGACGCCCACCAAGATTTTAGAAGCTCTTGGCTAGCTCTTGGTTGTTTCCAACAGTTATTACATTTTAAAAATTTAGCTACTTGTATCCAAACCAGTTCATGCCAGTTAAATTTAACATAGTATAATGAAATATTATAAGGCAAAGAAAACTTGAGTGCAAAAAGAGACTGGTTTCTAAGAAACAAAGTTGGATGCTGTGAAAAGACTCTATAAAAACAAATAGCTCTGAAAAACTGCTATCACATTAAATATGGGGACTTAATTTAAAATATTATGAGAAAAATAATGGAAATATAAAAGACTTATGCACTGAAGCTTCTATATTAGGGATTTTATGTTCAAAAATGGTTTATCAAACATGAAAAGGAATTTCAATCAGGGGACCTCCACCAAAGAAAACGCCCTGTTCTATATCAACATGCAAAAGTTTAATGAAAGGGGCCATTGATGTTTTGTAAGTTAGGAACTAGGCTCCCATCTATATACAAAAAAGAAGTCCGAACTCCTTAGTCTTGCATTCAAGGCTCCAACCTATCTTTCTAGCTTTTACCTTTCATAAGAGACTTTTGCGAAGCATATACTTCATTCCCATATATATCTGTACTTTCCAGACTTTGAAGTCTCATAGATCTGTATCTTAAAAGGTGACCAGAAGTTGTTTTATGAATGAGGGGAGATACATGGCGCTATCTACTTTTCCATGGAAAATGCAGAAAAGAATAAGTGGTGACAGCAGTGGTGTTGGGAGGCAGAAGGCGGAAGGCAGTTTTGAGTTTTATTAATTGTGAAACAACCATTACACGTGCCTTGTAGAACACTGGAAATATGGATCTTCAGTTTAGAGGTGAAATTTCAGGATATATTCCTTGAAATCTGGACTTTGCCTGTCTTACTTAGTACTATATCCTCCAGAACTAGAACACTGCCTGGTGCACAGTACTCAAATATATGTCTAATTAAGGTGTTATTTAGTATACAGGCTAATGGATAGCTAAAGCTGGATCTCGATAAGACTGCTCACAGGTGTCAATCTATTTTAGGTATCTTCAAAACTAATGAGTACTTTGTACCATCTTTTCCCAGAAATATGCATGTTTACACAAGCACTAAATTTTGCACAATTTCATCAGACCACATGGTACTTACTGCTTGCATCAATTTAAAATCTATTGATCTCAAACTTAAAAACCAACAATAACATATTAAGAGGACAACTAAGAAACACTGAAAACACCAAAAAATGAGCAAATGGATGTAGAGAACTCGACAAAGGAAAGGTCCAAAAAGAAAGAAGAAAACAAGAAGAATGTTATTAAGAAAGCAAAGAAAGAGTTTTTCACAGAGGGAGTGATCTACAATAGCAAAAGTAGTAGAAGTATACAAAATACATATGTTAGAGTTGGCATTAGGTCTCCTAGAGATCTTAGTGGAGTGGTAGGCCATAGAAACCAAATTGAGGTTGTTTGAAGGACTGAATAAAAAGACAGGGAGTATGGCCAGTGAACGTAAACAACTAAAATGTTCTCAAACATTTCTCACAAATTATTTTTTCAACAAATATTCATTTAATGCCAATTATATGCCTGGCATTGTGCTAGGCATCCTATCCATGTCCTGCCCAAATTATCTCAAGAAACTTGACTATATTCTCTAAATTATCCTTTCCACCTCCAAATGTCTAATAACTTCCCTATGTAAAAAGCATCAATCACTTTCAACTGGCTAAAGAAACAAACCAAATAGTCTATTAGTAGAGTCTAACAAAGATGTAGAAGTGTTAAACTTACTGCATAGGTCTCTTATAAACAAGTGAGAAATTTTCCTATCACAAGAATTACAGTACTCTGAACTAACCAATTCATGACACTGTTCAGTGGAATTCCTAAGGACACACCTCTGTCACACAGCCCCGAAAAAATCTAAAAAAACACTATCTTGAGAATCTTCCCATCACCCTCCTACATCCTAAAAGTTTGTTACCATAATTCTCTGAAATAAAACTCTAGAATACTCTTTTCTTAAAAGTCTCTTAAAATAGAATTTTAATTCTGGAAAGGTCTAAACCTTTATTTTACTAGTGAGCAAACTGCATCCTATTAGTTAAGCAAGTTGCCTAACTTCATTTAAGATACTAAAATCTTTAAGATACAAAAGAAATTATTTCAATGCTAGAAAAATGGTTTGTAATCTTTTTTGACAATGTGTGTTTATTATTAATCCCATTAACAATTCATTTAGCCAACAAATAATTACTGCCCTCCACTCCCATGCATCAGGCTCTAGGAAAGTGACAGTGAACAAACAGGCCTGGTGCCTCTCATCCTAGGAAAGACCAAACTTTAAAACATAACATAATTGGTTCAATGCTTTAATAGTATGAGAATAGAATACACAACTGAAGGATCACAGGTAGGTTTTGTCGCTTGACTTTGTTGTTTGGGTTTTTTCTTTTTCCAATTTTGTTGGGGGCTGGGTAAAGGGAAGGGGGCAGTAGAGGAGTCTAGCAGGCTTCTTTTTGTAGTAGGTGAGCTTTGTGGGGAATTGATAAGTGATAAAGTTTAATGGGGACAAGAATGAGGCAAGGAGGGAAGAACATTCCCCGTGGAAGGACTAGCATGTTCCAGCTTTTGGAAGCAGCATGGCAATTTAGGGTATTCATCAAAGGCCAGCATAGGCAGCTCACAGAGTGAGAGGGAGAATGGCTCAAGATAAAGCTGGAGACATGGGTAATGTCCAGATCATACAGAGGAGGGACATAATCAAATTAGTACTAGCTAATAATAACACATCCTTTTACATAGTACTTTAACAGTTTACAAAGCACTTTAAAATGTTTTCTCCGCTGTTCCTACAAACTTGTGTAGTAGCTATTATTATTATTCCAAAATAATTACATCAATCCTCTTTAGAATTCTCACAGGGTAAGTTTAAGGTCCAAGTTACTCAGTTAAATCACCTTGTCTGTTGGTAGTACACAGCTACTAGTCCCTCAAGATTTTACATATGCTACTATCATCTAGGAAAGCTACACTGAACATACCTTCATGATTGTACTTTCTAAAAATTATGTATTTAAAACATTTTTTAAAAGCATTAAAAATAACAGCCATTTATCCATCATCCAGCTTACGGAATATACGCTGACACAAGTCTTTTAAAAGTATGTGTTTAAAGCTTTTCTCCATAGATTGTGAATTCCATGAAAGCAGGGGCTATGTGTTGACAGATCCAAGATTTTGCGCTAAGAAATTAACACTGTTGTTTAGTATAATGGAATCCCTCAATTCAGGTATAAATACTGAGGTTCACAATACGCTAGAGGCCACAAAGCCAATAAATCATTTAACCCAGTTCAAGTACAAAGGAATTTTGCTTTATTTGTTACGAGTTTACAACTTTATAATACCTGATAAATTTATTCACGATAAAACCGAAAAAATAACTTTCAGTCCACATATTTTCAGGTCATTATTAAAGCATCCCAAGAAGGCACTTGCTGAACAAATTAGCTATGGAAGTCTCCTGTATTATGCTAAATGCTGGGAATATGAATTCCAATTACACAAATTCCATGCCTTAATGAAACTCAAGTTTCTTAAGCACACAGAATTGATCCAAGGTTTGGTGGTTCCCAGATTTAAAGAACATATCCCACTCTAGATCAACTAAGAATAGGGAAAAATGTCCATCACACATGAGCGCGTACGTGGCCCAGAGTTAATAAATTATTTTTCCCTTCAGAAAAAAAAAAATTGCTAGTAGGGAGTAAGAAGGAAGTTGTGTTGTGTGTGTAAATGTGTTCTGAAAAGGATTGGGACAGAGACTAGACTAAAAGGAATAGAAACTGGAAAAGCGGGTTTAAGGAGAAAACTAAATGTAGAGTGGCATATGAGAATCACATTTGTTCAAGCATCTTCTACAACAGCTTTTCTGCACAGAGCTGTAATCCTTACACAGCACTTAGTAAAAGGCCTTACAGACCCTGTGTTTCTTGACTCCAAAGAAGCTTCAGTAACCACCTATTCCGCCTCCTCCGCACCGCCCAGCAACCACAGTTACTGTGTGGTCGCCTCATAAATGGAAGCGGCCCTCGCCGCTGGACTAGCGCGGAGGAGGGCAGGTCAACCGATGAGAAGACACTGTGGAAAACGCCATAGAGTACGCACCCAGGCCAAGGAAGGGGTCAGCCTCAGCCTCCACCTCAGCTTGGCCCGTCCAGTGAGAGATGTGGTATCAAAAAGAGACCAGAAAACCCAGCTCCCCGAAGGCAGCGGATACTCCCAAACGGCTTCCAAGCGCTTAAAAGCGCTGGTAACTTCCGCACCCGCCCCCATCCGAAGTTACCTTCCCAAGTGACATCGTAAAGCTCTGAGACCTTCGCCATCTTCCCAGAACCTAGAGGCAGCGGGGTGAGAGGGCGGGGAGCCGCAGTCACGTGACTCGCGACCGGGCTGTGGCGATTTACGTAGCTTTTTCTCATTGGCCAAGAGAGCAGAGGGGGCGGTATCCGCCACGCACGTGCACGCGGCTCTGCGGAGGAGCTTCAGGGGAAGGGGGCGGAGCGAGCTGGGCGGTGCGCGGCGGTCCCGGATCTGAGGCTTCTTTGGGTGCTGGCAGGGCGGAGGTGCTGGCTCGGGGTGAGATGTGTATTTTGTGTTTGCTTTGCCGTGGATTTTTTAACAAATACTGGGTTTTTAGTGTCCGCCAATCCTAGCTTTTCATTTTTTTCTACCTAGGCGTGTTAATTTTCTTCACACTCCCCAATCAACAATTTATTCTATTCAGGGCTGGCTGCCGCGCAGCCTTCTGCGCGAATCCCTTATTAATCTCCAACTTTCCTCCTTCTTTAATGGGATTTGCTTTCTGTTCACTTTTTAATCGACTAAACGGGTACTCTAAAGTTTTTATTAAATCTCTTCGAGGGACTAATTGGGATTCTTTCGCTTTGAAGTTACCTTGAATGCCCTTGGGCTAGCCTGTATCCTTCGTTTACGCTCGCCGTGCCTGTCATTGCTTCATCCATGTCTGCATGCCACACTAGGTTTGAAACTGTAGCGAGTATAATAAGTACTTACAAGAAATGAATGTAGGAATAAGACCTTTACAGTTCCTGAACTTCGCTCCTCTTTACTCCTGGTGGGTGGATGGGGGAGCCTGCTTTCCCACCAGACTAATTGCTTTTAGGGACCTTTGGACGTCGTCTCCTAGAGCTAAGGAGAAATGTCTGGACAGTAAGCAAAATATTTGAAGATGATAAGCATATATTTTGTATCTGAAGGAATGAGAACCTGAGATTGTAGAGGAGGAACATGTAAGCTGAGGAAAAACTAAAAATCACTGCAGTGCAGCCATAGTTATGGGTCAGTGAAGAAGGGGCAGTCAAGGTTTGAGAAGTAGAAATAATCCTATCCCACAAGTCAAAAGAGTGGAGGGATTTTATTCCCAGCTTTATTGAGGTATAATGGACAGAAATTGTGTATATTTAAGGAATAGGAAGTAATGATTAGACGTAAATATATATTGGGAAATGATTACCACAACCAAGCTAATCAACACATCCATCACCGTACCTGTTTCCCGTGTGTGTGTATGTGTGTGTTGAGAACACTTAATCGCTCAGCAAACTTAAAAGTATACAATACAAAATTCTTAACTATAGTCACAATGATGTACATTTGATCTCCAGAACATATTCACCTTACAACCAAAAGTTTGTACCCTTTGACCAACATCTCTCCATTCCTCACCTCTCAGCTCCTGTCAACCACAGAGGGTTTTTTTGTTTGTTAAAAAAAAAAAAACAACCGCCAGGCCATCTACCCCAGAGAAGTCACATAACGACAGAAAAGACTAGTGAATTTTTACACTTGGATTGAATTCTGAATGAGCTGGCATTCTTTCTAAAGAGACTTTTAAAAAATCTTTCATTCAGGAAGTTAAAAAATGCTCCACCCAGAAATTCATGTATTCTAATTATCCAATAAAGCAACCTGGTGCAATGGGAAGAAAAAGAACTCCCAGATCTGATTCCAGGCTCTTCCTTTTAGTAGCTGGGTGACTTTCAGCTTGTATTTCTCTCTCAGCATCAAAGACACTCATATATGAAAAGCTAATAGTATCTGTGTAAAAAGAAAGTAGCTACCTTGAATTGTTAATCAACATGAAAACAGATACTTCAGCTAAAGCCCCTGCATGGCACTCTCATGGAGGTACCCTCCTGTATCTAGAAACACTGTGTTTATATGCTAATCAGTCCCAAATTGATCAATCTTCTCAAAACCCAGTCTGCTTGCTTGACATACTCACTTAGATGGCTAGTTGATATGCATCTCAAAGTTAACATATCCAACACAGAACTCTAGATTCCTGCTGCCACCTTCTGCATTCCCGAACCTTGCTTTTCCCCGTCATAAGTAAGGAAACCATTTACCAACTTGCACAAGTTAAAATTACGGGAAGTACCTTTGATTCCTTTTTTTGACACCCCCCCCCCACATCCAGTCTATCAGCAAATTCTACATTGCATTTCCCAAAGTTCATCTGCTTTTCATCTCTATTGCTATTACCTTAATCTAAGCCACAACTATGTCTCTTCTGAATGATTGTGATAGTCTCCTAACCACCTTGGTTTCATTCTTGCTGTGTAAAATCTGTTTTTTTATACAACAACCCTACTGGTCTTAAAAGAAAAATCAGACTACAGAAGTCCCTTGCTGATAGGCCTCAAATTGCTCCCCATGGCAATAAAAATATACTTCAAATACTTTACCATGGTTTAAAAGGCTTTACTCAACCAGGTGACATTCATCTACCTCTTACCTCATCTCCTACAATTCTCTCTCCTCTCTAGCCCCCAGCCATTCTCACCTACTTACTATTCCTCAATCAGGCCAAGCTCCTATCTGTCTTGTATCTGGCGTTTGCCCAGCTGTTTCCTTTTCCTAGAATGCTCTTCTCCACATCTTTTAGTGACCATCTTCCTTTCACCATTCATATCTTAGTTTTAAATGTATCCACTTATAGCCCTCTCTTGACCATCCAATAGAAAGTAGCCTTTAGGTAATGTCTGTTCATCTTCATGACACTTATCACTATTTGATTTCTTGTTTGTTTACTTGCTTACTTTCTGTATTTTACAACACTTTAAGCTGCTTCATAGTACCAACTTTATTATTTTAACCTTGGGACATCCAGCCTAGAAAAATACCTGAAACAGTAAAAATGTTTGTTGAATGAATGAATTAGATTAAAAATGACAGCTTGTATTAATATTTATTAAGGATAACATTTCCTAATAGTATACATATGAACTCTTGTTTAGTTAAGCATAGGATGTTTTCTTTTTATAGCTGATACTTTCCTAAAACGTATAAATTCAGTGAATTCAGGAACCATGCCAATTCTTTTTTTTTTTTTTTTTAATTTTTTTTTTTTTGGGTGGGCCCCCGCCTGGGTGCCCCGGGTGGGGCTGCTCTGTGCCGGCTCCTCCCCCAGGTGCCCAGAGTCTGCCAATTCATTTTTATATCAGCCCTTACTACAATACGTTGCATACAAGAGCCACTTAATATTTTCATGAAATTATTGATGCTTAACATTTTGTTGGTTTGTTTGTTGGTTTGTTTGAGGGGTCTAAAGCCTCTAGGAAGTCCCAAGGAGGTATTTTTTAAAGCCTTCTAATGGATTTTAAAGGTTATAACTAGTTGAGGAAATAAATATTTTCTAATCATGTCAACTAAATATCCCATAGCTAGCTACTATTGTCTGTCAAGCAATAAGCTGTATGACACTGGGTTAAAAGTCATCATTTTCAGAATTTCTAAGCTGGAAAATAGAGTAATCTCATTTTTGAGTTTGAGTGGGCTGATGATTCTTGGGAACAATATTTTTCAAACTTCTTTTGCCTATAACTCATACTGAAGAATATGTTTTATATTGTCATGCAGTATGTGTACATGTATTTAAAACTGAAACATAATTTACAAACTAGTTTTGTCATGTGCCTTGTCTTCTACATTTTCTATTCAAAATGTGTCAGTTACATTGTATTTTCTAAAACTACTGGTGTGACACAGCCATGACTCATAGTTTAAAAAACATCAATGGATATTGTATGTGTTTCCTAACCTGAGGCCCTAACTTGAAATGATTTGCCCAAGTTTCTGCCACTAGTAGGTAAAAAAGATAGGCGACTCATATGTGATTAGTTGTTTAGATCATAGATGAAAGATAAAATACTGAGAAAAATATATCTAGGAGAAATTTTGTCACCAACAGTACTCTGAAGCAGGGAAAATGACTGCATATAGATTATGATATAAATGTCTAATAAAACTTGCCTTCCTTGGGCACACTTAGGAAAAAACTGGTATGACAGTGACAAGAATTCTATATTCTTCTTTAACATTGTATAGCATGCAATTATAACTAAATGAAAATAGAAATACCTTCCATAGATAAAACTAACACTGAAAACGTAAATATCAATCTTAACCTTCTGTAACTCTACCTTTACAAGATGTCTTCAAAGTTTTGCCTCTCACCCTCTCCCTCATTGGGAAAATTTTCATTGAAATATGTTTAAAATATTTAATCCAGTTTTTCCGATTGCACATTGCCCAATATTGGTGACAAATACCAAGGAAATGTCCAGGCAGCCAAATAATAGATTATATTAGCCCCCACATTATGAATAAGATGTGTCAGACACCATGGGCAGCATTATCTCACTTAATAATTTCAACAGCACAATGAAAATGTCTGTAATTGTTTTTATGTGAAACTAAATTGTGATTTGGCTTTTTTCTGCAATATTAGGTTTGAAGAGTTGGAACGACAACAAATCAGAATGAACTAGAGTGAGACCGGAAAAACTTTGAATAAGCCCACATTTTCTTTGAGGCAGGTTATAAGCCAAATTAGTCCACAGAGCAGTTTAGAGTACATCTCTTTTATGGTTTACTTAATTCAGTTAATATCTTCAGACATAGTGGAGGACTAAAGCAACCTCTTAAATTTGATAAACTCTATGGCATTCATACAGTATACATTATTTCACAGGATATAAGCCAAATTACTCCACAGAGCACTTTAAAGTACATCTCTTTTATGGTTTACTTAATTCAATTAATATCTTCGGATATTGTGAAGGACTAAAGCACCTTTTAAATTTAATAAACTTTATGGCATTTATACAATGTATATCATTTCACAGGATGAAACATACCATTCTAATTGATTTTACAATACTCAGCATCTTCATCAAACCATTTATTTAGAATATTCTGTCTACTTTTTCCTGGTCTTAACCGTAGTGAATTAGTGTCCCACGTTATGTAACACAGCTTGTAACTCCTATTTACTATGACAGTTATTTATCAGAGTAAATTGGTCTCGCTACAACTCTCATATAAAATTTACCAAA